GAATATGAGGTGCGAGTATTATATTATATATACATAAGTGTATAATTGTATGCATATCGAGCCCTATTTACGATTTTATCGTAAGCGACAAAAGGAAAATTTTACAGGAGGAAGTTATTTTTTATTTCTACCCTTAAACGGTGTTCTGTTGTGTATTCTAGCCATCAAAACAGAAAGGAGTGGGGATACTTTAATGATTTTTTGAATAAACGGAATTTTAAGTCAATTAAACATATACACTGCCACTCAGCCGAATAAACTCAACATGCTTTTCAATATCAACTGATTGGTGCATGTAATAGATTGCCCACAAGTGGCTTTTGTAAATGCAGCATTAAAGCCAGTTAAACTCTCAAACAATAACAATAAAGGCAACGACATTAGCCGCCGCTATTTGCTATTCTTTTACGTATTTTTAAGGAATGAGAAAAAGTTAGAAATAAATCATTCACCAGAAAAAGTTCAGTGCAAAAATCATAATACATATTAAGAAGATTGTTGGCGAATTTCAAAATCAATTGATATATTTCTCCACATATCATGTGTTTTAAACTTAAAAGTGAAAAAAATTGCTAAAGGAAATCTTTTAATCCAGAGATGTAAAGCGAACATTGCAATTTTATAAAAAAAAGTCTGAACTGGAAAAATTATGATAAAGAAAAGTGGTAAAATCAAAATCTTATAAGCAATTTGAAATTCGAACGACAAAGTGAACTAATTTCGAAGGCTACATCCAAATACATATGTAGCTGTATCAGATGGTGTTAAGAAGGCAATTTCAAATTCATTTGAAGTTTCTCCGGTACCAGTGCAAAAAATAAGACAATAGGCAAGTTTATGTCGAGTTGTTGCAAAACGGTTATTTACCGCTGCGGATAATTTTTTTTTAATCTGAACAGTGCTGTTATTAAGATTTTAAATAAAGCAGTCCGTTTGTTAAAAGGTACTTCTTTTATTTTCAAAATCATTCAAAGTTTGTCTGTATCGAGGTAAAAAAAAATTCCTTTTGTTGCTTAGGATGCAATTGAAAATAGAGCAAGGTGCATACTTTTATCTTCCACATTTGATTTCATTTATTCATTTCAGTGATTATAATTAGTACAATAAGATATCCAATCTTTTATAGTACAACAAACAATAATTATTACAAACAAAGGACATACGAATACAATAACGTCTATATGATTTCGACAGATCACATTTAAAATTCATTGTAAACTGGTTTGAGATCGTTAATATAAAAAAAAAACTGTATACATATGTACACTTCTGATCACCTGAATAAGTAATCAATATTTTGATCGATTGTGGCTGTTTTTCTTTTGTTTATTTAATGTTTATTATTTTTCCATAAAAGCCTGGCTCCTTATATAAATCCACATTTCAAACTTTGTGCAAAAATTATAAAAAATCTGCAAAGTTTGAGCTAGATTTTCAACTTTTTATTCAGATTTTTAAGAATTTTTTTGAGTATGCAGTTTGATAGCCCATTACTTTCCAGGGTAATAATGTCCAAGTCTTAAATTGCTAAAGAATCGCGTTGATTTTGAATATTTTTTTTTCTCTTGCAGACATTTGGTTAGGTGGTCGGTTGTTGAAAATGCTAAATTCTGTTCTGCTAAGAAGGAACATAGCTATATTTCAGCCTATTTTGCGTTCGTTGCATTTTCAATGAAGTCTTAAAAAAGCCGCCTACTTTTTTCTGCTGCTATAGCTTTTTTGGTGCTTTTGCGAGCGTGCGTGTTGCAATAGAAGAGCTCTTCCTGATTTGGTTTTTAATGTGCAATTGCAAACAATGCAATAAGCCTCGTAACCTCAAGTGTTTACAAAACCAGCCTTTGAACGCGGGATCCTTGTCCAAGAAAAAAAAAAAAAAAATGCGCGCACGCTTGGTTTGCATCGCATTTAAGTCATTTGCGTCCAAAGGATAAATATCTTTTGAAGAAGCTGCTGCAAAAAACAAAGCTTGTAAAGATTTATTAAGAAAATAATTCAAAATCAGTTCTACTTACAAGATTTAGTAACAGAGAAAAATTACTGGGAAGTTAAAAAACGCAAAAAAAGCGTCCGAACGTCAACAGCATACAAAAAACGTCCAAATGACGTTAAAAACGTCAACCTGGCAACGCTGGAAAGAGTATCAAAAAAGATCCTGCAAGACGAGCTGCGCTGGACTTAGTGGTTGCAGCTGCAGTTGCATAATGGAAAAATGCACCTTATTTTAATGAGGCTAAGAAGCTGCTTTTTAAGCATTCAATTACAGCAAGTTTTGAGAAAACTTTTGTTAAAACTGTAGCTAAAACTGTTATCGTAGAGCTGGAAAGCTATCGATGGTCATGGTCATTGATAAAAAGAGTCCAAAAATTCAACATATAAACTTTTTTCAAATGCATTGACGAAGCTATTTATATAAACTTTTTAGTTTTCTTTAGTTCATGAAGAATTAGCTAACTGTTATATAGTGATTTTCAGTAAATTTTTCCTTTCTCTTCGATTTGTAAAATATTTTAAACCGATAAAACAAAAACCTAAAATTTCCAATCATAGAAAAAACTGTATGTATTACAAAAAATGTTCATTAGTCCAACTCCGGCAATGCCACAGTATTTTTGCATAGAACTCACTCCAAAATTCACGGAAAAGTCCATATTTCAAGCGTGTTCTACAAGAACCCAAATCATTGTACAAATATCCGAACCGTACCCCGGATTTTACATGTTTTTTTTATCTATTCAAAGTATCAAAAGGAAATACAAGAATCTCCAAAAATTGACTAAACCTGGCTTATATCAATAGATTCGTCCATCGACGGAGAATCCCTAACACCATAGTATGGTTCCATAAAGATATTCAAACTAGTTTTTTCTAATTTAATTACACCCTATTCACATGATTCTGATTCATACTCTTTTGTGTTTTCTATTTGCTTTTACACGCTTAAATTTTGTTGAATTCCAAGTTTTTGGTGCTTTAAATAGGAAACAACGAAGATGTCAAAAGCAAAGCAAGAAACTTGAAACCAGTTGACGGTACAGACGCACATGTACTATTTCCTTTTCTTCTCAACCCCTCTCTTCCACTAGCAAGTAGAATTGAATTCAATACTTGAGCCGTGTAAGACCCGGTAATAGGTAAAAAATAGTGATGCGTAAGCAAATCAATGTTGCCAAATTCCCATTTACAAAAATAAAAAAATACATACTAAGTAGTACATATAATATAAACAAAGGCTATCGATAGCGGCAACGACCATTCGTTAGTGCAAAAAATAGAACCGTTCGATAGTACCATCGATAGTTTTACAGCTCTAGCTCGATATATTGAGTCCTTTTAGAGCGGACGATATGTATATTTTTTTCTTTTGGTGGTATACGTCAAAGTTTATATGTATTTTGTTTTTAACCGACTTCACAAAAAGGAGAAGGTTATCAATTCGTCGGAATATTTTTTTTTATGTACGTTACCGCATAACTTTGGACCACGTTAACCGGTTTCTATAATTGTTTCTTAAAGGAAATGTGTCACCTCACAGGTGGTCCCATACTAATTTGGTTTAAGTCCGATCATTGGATCATGAAGAAACTAACGATAATCTTAAGTTTTTTTATGAGAATTGAAGTCGGTTTTTTTTTCGCTTAAATATTTCTTGTTTATTTTACTGATTTGGCAGCCAAACTCGCAAAGCAGAAACAATATACAAGGCGAATTCACACAAGGTGATAACATCACCTCAAAACCGATGATAATCAAAAGACAAAAAATGTACAACAAACACATTGTTTTTGGCAATCAGCTCAATTCGCCTTGAAATTGGCTGTTCCGGTAATGCATTGAAGAAATCAGCTTGTCTAATTATACCCAAGGCGAATTTATACAAGGTGGTGTTACTGGCGAATTTAGATTTTGGCCGCGATACTTCTTAATGTCAAAATGATGTGCTTGTTGTAATATGAATTCGCCTGGTTTACAACAAACACATCATTTTGACATTAGGAAGTACCGCGACGAAAATCTAAATTCGCCAGTAACATCACCTTGTGTAAATGCGCCTTGAATTATACCACCTTGAACTCGCTTACATTTTTAAGGTGTAAAATCAAAAAAAATATGAAATGATAATGATGATTTGCCATCTATGTAGAGCTTAATTAAATATTATAATTTCGTGCTAAAATTCGTGCAAATTATATGAAATCTTTCGCGTTTATGCAATATTTTACAGCGGAAATATATATTTAATAATATATAATATATTTTTTTCATTAAGGTTTAAAATGGTGATGAGAACGCAAAATCCAAAATAAGGATTATTCTTGATCGAAGGAATGAATAAAAATCACAAAATATTCATCAAACTTCAGAATTATTTTTTATCGAAAAAAACTTAACTTAAAATGCTGGCAACAAAATATCCTAAGTCTCAAACCCTGGGCCCAGTTTTAGTGGTCTGAGTTACTTTACGAAAAAAATGCAAATATTAGGAACTAAAATGCGTACTTATGACATACTGTTAACTTTGCTATGCTTTATTGACTTTTTTCTAAATATTTCTCACACTTAGGGAATTCCCTACGCTTCTCGAAAAAATTATGATTTGGTCGTTTAGTGGCTGTATCTTGGCTTTTTACTGTTAAGTGATTACGTTCACGTGTAACTAAAACTTGATTAGAATTTTCGCTTTGTAATATTTTCCACATCATTTTAACTTAAAGTTCTTCAAGTAAGCAAATGTCTGCAAAATCATTATATCCTAGTAAAAAAACAACAAATATATACATATACTAAGTAATGTGCCGCAATGCAATTTCTCCATTAAGTGATACTGTTCCTTATAAAAGAAAAATCCCCTACTAAATTTACGTATTTTTCATCACGGGGGTTTTTTTTGTAAGACTTGTACACTATTTTTATTGTATTAATAAATAAATAGAAAACAATTAACAACTATACGTATGCTTTTAAGAATTACTTAGTCATTCATAAATGTACACACATAAATAAATAATATCACACTTTTCACGTCTAGTACTCTATTCGCACATCCACTTGCAGCTGCTTGTAGTCGTGATCGCTGAGAAAGTTCCACTTGTAGCCGAGTATCTGTGACACTTCGCGTTCCACCACTTCATAGGAACGCGACATGTGCCGCAGCCAAATATAGAACTCATCGGTCCATTCTGGATGCCGTGGCCAATCGCAGCGTATGATGACGGCAAAGCGACGCACATACAGACGACGCAAATTCTTGGCGGTTCGCGCGATCAGCAACACTGTGGAGGTGGACACTTTCTCGCGTATAAACTGAAAAGCAAATATTTGTAAAAATAAAATTCAATTTATCGGGGTACTATTACCATCGTACAGTTCCATAACTAACGTAACTCTGGCTGGCAGGCTGTAGGTGTGTTTTTGGTTAGTGTATTGGTGTTTTTGGTTCAGTGTGTTAGTGTATTTTGAATAAATTGAAACAGAAATGGCAGAAATTGTAACAGAAATGGCAGAAATTGTAACAGAAATGAAGAAATTAGAGCAAAGCCAAAAACCGGTGATCTCAGCTGTGGGCATTTTTTGGCAAGCAGCTGATAGTGTAACTGTACGATGACTATTACTACGGCACTTACCAGTGTGTGCAGATTGAAGCATTGTCGACTGATCAGAAGCATTAAACTATCGACACGATTGTGAAAAGGCTTGGGGGAAGTAAAACGGGGCAACATCTCATAGCCGTAAACGCTGAGTCTATTCTTATAATGATCCACCATACGCAGGATGAAATCTGTTTTGATCTAAGGCAGAAACAAAAATTTCTCAATTTAGTGAAAAAAGCTAAGGTTTAACGAATATACATATGTTTAGTGCCGAAAGGTATCTTGGTTAGCCTATGAGGTGTTTTTGTCTAGAGAAATATGCACTATACGTAGTGCGAAAACTGAGGATTCTCCGGAAATTATTCGGTTATAGAATTGAAACCGAACCCCTAATTTTCTTGGTTTTGTCTTAAAAACTATCCGAATTAAATTTTATGCAATTCGAACCACGGCAACCCGTGCCGACTTACAGTCAAAGTTATCAGAATAAAGGCCGGCCCACATAAAACTTTCGCATTGGCTTTGGCGTTGGCGTTGGTTTGACAGAACTCACGTTAAAAGTATGCTTGCTACAATGAACGCTTGGCAGCGAATGCTTTGAGCACTAAATTAACATAATAGCGCCTGAGATATTAACATTTCATATCAATAATTACATGGAAAACGATATTTCTTGCCCAAATTTGATTAACAATTAAAAATTATTTCATATAATTTTATTTATTTGCAACAGCTAATTGACAACGCGTGCAACAAGGTCTATCTGGACCGGCCTTAAGCGTTTTGCAGTTCGCGTGTTTTGTTATTTTACTCATTTTACTTCTATATAAGGCGGTATTACTATACTCGCTGCAGTATTAGGGCATAATATTTAGTAAATCTGCGTTTTTACTTTTTTACCGGGTATTCAGGAGTGTTTCCAAACGACCATCCAAAAGTTTACAGAAAATATGGATATATGGGAATCAATTAAAAGAAAAATTCAAAAGAAGATTAGTTATGTCTTTTGTTTTCAATTATCCTTTTGGAACATGTCAAAAATGACCTTTAAAATATTAGTCTTCAAGATTTTGAAGGATAGAAATTGCTAAGAATATTTTCCTTTAATTAATTTTTTCGATGTCCTTGGGAGAAATGCTGCCGTCCCATTAAAAATTTAGTGATGCAGATTTACCAGAAATACGTTCAAATATGGGAAACATATCGAATTTATCGCATTTCCAAAGTTTTCATGGACGAATGGGAAGCCTTAATTCAAGTTATTAACTAAAACCTCAACTAAAAGTAGGCACGGGTTATTGTTATCCTACCGTCCTAAAACTTCATATGCATATATGCCATTTAGGATAAAATGCACGAATACAGTGGGTATGCATATCAAAATTTGAAAAAAAAAAATCCCATATGAAGGGGTTAAAATCATAACGGTCTAATTGACATTTTTTGAAAATGTAACTTATACCCATATTTGTATAGTTGAATATAGTGTTTGTCATTTCAAGTCATGAAGATGTGTTTAAGCCCTTACATCCAACTCCACCGAAGATTCCGTACTTAAAATGGGAAAATTTAACTCAACTTCTACCATTTATTCCACCTATTCATCAAGATTTTTATTTAAATATTCCCCATGAGACAAAAGCAAAAAACAAAAGTTCTAAGAAGCAAAGTGAAAAGACGATTATAGTTCAAGAAGAAAATACAGAATCAGATGAAGCCCACCGCAGCGGTTTGTCAGATTACGATGATTAGATATATTTTAGTAGAGTAAATGTTGTATATTATACCTTTTTTACATAATAAAATGTAGATTTTTTTAAAAATAAGCTTTTCCATTTATTGCCTTACAGAAATTTACCTAAGTAGGTACTCAGAAGTAAAAGGATCCAAGTGACACAATTAAAAATATATTTCAGTGTTTTTCCATCTGCAGTAAGGATTCTTTTAATTAGTTAATTAACCTGCATTTATTTAAGAAAGTGTGATTGAATTTCACATTGCTCTCAGAAGAATCATCCTATGAAGTCACATTGAAACAATTTTTTTTTTTTAATTTTGAATCTTTTGTTTATATTTTTTGACATAATAGTACCTTAAAAGAGAGCCCCACTGAGTTATCAATCACACTTTGTTTAACACACATTGCATTCCTACATATACCAAAAACTATGTACACTGAAAATAAAATCTGCGTAAATATAACGAAAACTTGCGTACATCTACGAAATTTTTCGTCATTTTGAGCCACGAAAGTTTTCGTTAATTGTACAAAACCGTTTTCGCAAGTACTACGAAAATATGAGACATCAGATTTTTAGTATATTTTACGAATACGTTCGTACTATTTACTAAAGAATTTCGCATTATTTTTTTTTGTTTTTTTTTTACGAAATTTTTGTAAAATGCAAAAAACAATTCGTATATAACGAAATTATTTTCGTAAAACCTGCGGTTGTTGCTTTCATTGGCCACCCTATTCGATTTTTATCGTGAGTTTTAATGAAAGTGCTTTGTTATCATTTGAGCTATGGTTTATCTATTCTGTGGCTATGCGTATACCTTTCATCTGCAAATAAAAAATGAAATATTTTCAAACTTGTTTAAAATATCAAAAAACCGGTATAGAACAGCTAAATTTTGATAGAAAAATACGGGTATAGGCAGATAAATGCGCTATTCATCCGCCCATAGTTTTGTGGGGAATTTATGTTACCAAATAAAAACACTGTTGATTCTCTGTTTCACTGGAGTACAATTCATACAGTTTAAAATAAAAAAAATATTCATTATATTAGCAGTGCGCGCTACCATTTCGCATGGCATGGGTTCGAGTCCAGTTTCCGACCAACAGCTTTAGTCTTATCAAACGAAAACCATCAGACAATTTGTATTGCGGTCAAGCATCAAATATTTGTTTTGGATTATTTATTCTCGCTATCCCCAATGCTGTTTATACGTGTTGCAGCGCACTCGCATCAGTCAACGCTCTATACCAGTAGTGTCCAACCGGTAGCTCGCGGGCGCCTGGTAGCTAGCGACCTAAATTTTAGGCGCCCGCAAACAAGAAGATAAACAGAATATTTTGTATTTAATTGAAAAGTTTAACAATTGGAAGCTTTTTTGGTACATAAGTAGACTTTTATTTTTGAATTTTCACGAACTCATTCACTTCTTATCTTTCTATGCAATTTAGACATGACAGAATCTCTGACTTCAGACTCTCCGCACTTATTAGTGTTCACCAGAGTGGTATTTTCTGATTTTTCTGCTAAGGAGGCACTGTTAGTCAATCTGACTTTGGAGACTCGTACTCGTGGGCAAGATATAAATATATAACGTAGTGAAAAAGAAGGAAAATCTGATTGCAAAAACACTCAACCATGACAAAGTTATAAGCACGATCGTTCGTATTGTGAATTTGGTTCGCGGATGGCCGTTAAAGCATCGGCAATTCAAAGCCTTGCTCGATGAATTTGAGAGTTAATTCGGTGACATATTCTACCACTCTGAAGTAAGATGGCTGAATCAAGGTAAAGTGCTCTCACTGTTTGTAGCTTCGATGACAGAAATAAAGATTTTCCTGAAATCCAAAGGCAGCATTTTTAACTGATGTGACTGCAAAACTAAATGATTTCAATACAACTTTGCAATCTCGAAATCGATTAATGGATAGAGCAGTTGACAAAGAAAAACTTTCAACATTTCCACACGTTTACTCTTCTGGAACAGGCTTTTTCACAACTAATGGCTATAAAAAATAAATACCGAAACGTACTGACTGACGAACATGTCAAAAATAACATGATTTTAGCCTGCACTACTGTGCAATATAAACCAGATTTTAAGAAGTTATCTGAAAATATGAAGATTCAAGCATCATATGTGACACGTAAAGTTAAAAGGGACCTACGGTCAGAAAAAATCGGTTTTCCTTTTTCATCGACTCTTATAGTAAACGGTCCACTCTTTCCAATGCAATAAACCGCTTTTTAGCTGCATTAGTTTTTTCACAATTTCACTTCAAAGTTAGGTACTTTCACAAAAAAAGTACAAAAAAATCAAGTCTGACAAACTATTCAGAAATTAATCAAATTCGCTTGAAATTCGTTACTCGGGTGGTTTTCGAACATCGGATTCGTAATCACTGACCTCGTTTTCGGTGTCAACGACATTTTTGAGTTTCACATGAATCCGAACAAATTTTAAACTTTTTCCGCCATATTGGATCCGCCATTTTGAATTTTTAAAAACGAACATCGGATTCGTAATCAGCGACCCCGAAAACCCCCGAGTAACGAGTTTCAAGCGATTCCGATCAATTTTTAAAAAAGTCATCCGCGATATTGGATCCGCCATTGCGAATTTTGGAAAACGAACAGTCGGTTTTTTCGAAATCTTTGTTTCTGAACTTTACGTGTCACATATATAAAATAATAGCCGTTTTCGTTGTTCGGAGTTAACTCAAAAACTGGTGCATAGAGTTCAGTCAAATTTCGGAGGTTATACATTGCATACATGGTCCTATTATAGCTACCAGAAAATTCGTTAGGTGGCGCTGGGGTCGAGTTATTTATAAAAATCCTATTTATGAACCGATTTCGTTCAAATTCAAAACTTGTGCTACCTCCATGATGAGAAATATGTGTGCGAAAAACATACCCGATAGGTGGCGCTGTATTCGAGTTATTTATAAAAGTCCTATTCATTAACCGACTTTGTTAATGCAAATTCCAAACGTTTATTACTTTCATGATGATCTTTTTTCATTCTAAACATATATGTAAAAGTGACCCGATCTTTATTATTTTTACTTTAAGTATTCTGTTAATAATGACTGAAAACGGTACGAATTTTCATGTTTCATATCTGAACAATCAGTTGTATGAGAGCTATATGCTATAGTGGTCCGATTCTTCCGGTTCCGACAAATGATTAATACATTATAAAAATACACCCACCTACCAAAATTTCATCCGGATATCCCAAAAACTGAGAGACTAGATTGCATACAAACAGACGGACAGACAGACAGACAGACAGACAGACGGACAGACGGACATGGCTAAATCGAATCAGCTCGACGTTCTGATCATTTAAGTATACATTTTAATGGGTCTATCTCTTCTTACTCTGGTACTTACAAACATCGGACCAAAGTTATATTTAATACCATTTTACGGTCATGAAAGGTATAAAA